GTTGTTCACATTTCCAGCAAAGATTCAAAGTACCTTTATACATTCTAGACAATTTCTCTGGCGACAAGTACCAACAATACACCATTTTATAAAAATTTTCTTTAAGGCTAGAACATGATTTCAATCCTTTCAACCACATATTTTCCCATTGATCCACTTGTATATTGTAGCCAAAATTTTTAGCCCATTTTATCATGCATTCTTTCACTACTTCTTCTTCTGTCTCATATTTCAGCAAAAGTTTATACATTTTAGCAATAATATGTTCATCATTTGTACATAACTCTAACTTAGTCTTGCACTGTTCAAAACCATAAAATCTTTTATATACTTTAAACCTTTCTGATAATTGTACATAAGAAAACCATTGACAAGTATATCCTTCTGTGGTCAGATCTTCTCTTGATTTTATTTTACAATCCCCTTGAGAAAATTCTAGTACCTCATAAGTTAACCATTTATGTTTACTTATTATTTCTCATCTATAAAATGCTTCTTGTGCTGAGAGCCACAAATGTGTATTTGGACACAACATAGATTTATATTTATTCCATACTCTAAGAATGGCCTGCCTGATATAATGAGTTTTGAAATCTACCTTAGCTTTGTCATACCATAGATACCCATGCCACCCAAATCTCAGATCATGTCCTTCTAACTCCAATAGCCTTCTATTTCTTAACACCTATTCTTTCATCCAAGCTAAACAGCAGGTAGCAAAGTATAATTACAAATGTGGTAGACCCAATCCTCCTCTTTCGTTTGCATCTTGTAATATCTTCTATTTAATTTTTTTTTTTTAATTCTCCTGCAATACAAATTTAGATATATCGTTCTGCCATTCTTTAAATGGTACATCGGTTGTCAAAACAGGTATTATTTGAAACAGAAGTAACATTCTTGCTGACACATTCATCTTAATCACAGAAATTCTCCCCAACATTAACAATTGTATTTTATCCCATCTTAATATATCTTTTTTAACTTCATTCCATGTCTTAACATAGTTATTTTGAAATAACATACAATTCATATTTGTCATAGTAATACCCAGGTATTTTATCTTCTTCTCAATCTTAAAGCTCATTTTATTCATCAGTTCTGTTTGATCTTGTATCTTCATGTTTTTTGTTAGTATCTTTGTCTTCTGTTTATTAATCCTGAAACCTACTAGGTTTCAAGCAGGTTTGTGCTTTTCCAAATTCTTTTAATTTACCTATTAAAAGTTCAATTCCCTTTAAAGGCTCTGCAAAAACCAAAACCAAGTCATCCACAAAAGCTCTTAACTTATATGACTGTTTTTAAATCTTTATGCCCACAATCCTTTCATCTTGTCTTATGTCACTATTCAATATTTCAAGGACTAAAATAAACAGAAGAGGAGACAATGGGCAACCTTGTCTTGTTCCTTTTTATATCTCACATGGTTTGGTTAAATCTCCATTAATAATTTATTTGTGCCGTCTGTGAAGTATAAATCAATTTCACTCATATTATAAAATTCTCTCCAAAATTTGTATCTTCCAGAACTTTAAACGAGAAAGTCCAGGCCAGGTTGTCAAAAGCTGTCTCTGCATCTAAAAAGATAAATGCAGCTTGTTTTTCATTATGTTGTTCCAAATATTCCAAAATATCCGACACACTTCTAACATTGTCCCACATCCCAAGTTTTTGAGTGAGATAGGCTTAAATTGTCAATTGTTCTGGTGTTAATGAAGATTTTCCTCCCTTTTTCCAATGCCCTTAAGAGCAGCCTTTCTGTGTAATATCTATTAAGCTTTCCTACCATTCCACTAGAAGGAAGTCAAGTGTAATGGTATGTGGGAAAGCCACAGCCAGAGGAATGGTTGGATAAGAGGCAGCTTAGCCCACAGCAGGAATGTGAATATGGCAAACGTTTCAGAAGGGACTCTCTCTAGTTTCTTGGGATGTAAAGGCAATGGGGGAGAAATGTACTTTCAGACTTGCAATATTGATGTCAGCCTTGTGAGGTAGTCCAGACAGAAAGCATGCCAAGATGAACTAATTCTACTTTATTATAAGATTACGTTAACAGAATCTTGCAAGTCTGAAAATACATTTCTTCCCCATCACCTTTACAGCCAGAGAAACAATCTTCTAGAGTTCTTTAAATGGTCAGTAGTAAGGAGAGTGGAACGATCTGCCACCCGCTGCTCCCAAGTCCAGTAACTTTCCTTGCAACCAATATTGATTCAAAAGGAAGTTCATTTATTGAGAACAAGTGTACAGTTCCAAAGCATTGCTAAGACTAAGCCCCTGCGCGCCAAAAACTGTTTTTTCTCCTTTTTCCCTCCTTCACCCCCCTTGCTTCCTTACTCTCCTGATTCTCCCCCTGGTATGGCCTTGAGCATTCCAGCGCCTGTGATAAGAAGCCCTCTGCCTCTAACGGTGCTACACCTATTTACCCGCCATTCCCACACCACCTTTTACAATGGCAGAACCGCAGCATGCAAAAAGCAACTACCAACTAGCCAACAGTAAATTCTACTATAAAATCTTGCGAGGATTCTGACAGAGAGTTTGCATCCTTAGAAGAGACAAATTTTAACAATGTAAAATAAAAATTATTTTATTAAAATCAATTTAATCTACCAATCTGTATTTTATACCAATAAAACTTTTTTTTAATTCTTTATCTTGTCTTAAGTATTTCATAAGGTACTGAAAATCAAAATGTAGCCAGGTTTGGGTACAAAGGGGTTTTATACATTTATAAATAAGTATAAATATTGAGGGGACACAGTGGCGCAGCGGCTTAATGATGC